CAATTAGGGTCGAACAATTACGACTAGATTATAGTTATTACTCGTAACCTAGTCGTAATGTTACCACTATGTTACAACTGTTAGTCGTAAGTCGTTTAACACAATTCGAAACCCAAACCCCAAACCCCAAACACCAAACCCCCAACCACAAACCTCCAAACCCCAAACACTAACCATCAAATCCCGAATTCGTGATGTAGTCGTTTAACACAATTCGAAACCCAAACCTCCAACCCCCAAACCCCAAACAGTAACCATCAAATCCCGAAACTCCAAAATAATTTCATAATGCAAACATAATTGAGATATCAAAATATTATGCGGATCATAATTTCATAATCTAAACATAATGTATTTCATAACGGAATCAAATACAACTGACGTTAGAGTACATAATCAAACTCGATCACTCGTCCTCAGAAACATTTTCCACCTCGTCATTTTCTTCAAATTCGTCTTCGTTGGCTTCGTCCAAATTTGCATCGTCTGGAAGTTCTTCATATATCGGATTAAGCGGATCAAAAAGTAAGATATCATCAATAGGTTGCTCAGGTACTTCTACTTCATTTATGACATCTTCTTGTAAAGGCGGTTGTTCATCGTTCAATACTCGGCCCCGAGGTGTAACTTTTATAGCGGCTAACCAGGAACTTTCAGATTTTCTGATCCTTGGGTAAGGTATAAAACATACTTGGTCTGTCTGAGAAGCCAATATGTAGGGCTCAAATTTTTTGTACCTCCGTGTAGCATTTACGTCAACAACACCAAACTTACTATACCGAACACCTCTATTGACAGTGGGGTCAAACCAGTCATATTTGAAGAGTACGCATTTGAGCTTCATGTCGGGGAACTCCACTTCAATGATCTCTTGTATGATTCCGTAGAAATCTGTATCGCCTTTCACACATACTCCATAGTTCATTGTTGCTCTCCGGTTTCCATATTCGTAAGTGTGAAAAGTGTAACCACGTGTGAAATACATAGATGCTTTAGTGACCTTTGCGACTGGACCTTGTATCAATTCGTGTAACCACTGAAGATAAAATGGAACATCATAATCGACCTGCAGGATCGATCATCATCAACATATATATGTATATATAGATAATTAATATATATATATATATATATATATATATATAATTTCATAAAATATATTTACCTGCGTTTTTAACCACTTCAGAAAGTTTTGATCTTTCCTTTTGTTGATATCATTGCTTGGTATCCCTAGTATAACATCTTCGAATTGGGCAACAAAATCACTGTTTTAAAATAAATTGATGATATGAAATATCGTATTATATGTGTGGTAATTAAAACACTACGGCATATAAATAATACTACTTACTTTTCAAAATACTGAAGCTCCTCGCAGTTAAGGAGTATATATGTGTGGGCACTGTGAGCATCTTCAGAACTCGACCACCAAACTTCTTTCAATTTTCCACCTAGACGTCCAACCTGACAGAATATGTCTGGAACATCTTCAACAACATATGTCGGCACAACACCACCACCATCATACCTGCTCGTTGTTCTTTTCTGTGTCTGTGCTTGTGATCCAAAGTAGTACGACGTGAAATGAGATGTTTCCGCATTCAAACTTCCAGCAACTATTGAACCCTCCACTCTTGCCAGATTTTTTGCTTTCCCTTTTAAATATTTCATAGCTCGCTCGTAAGGATACATTCATCCATCATGAACAGGTCCACGAAGCAGTGCCTCATACGGAAGGTGAATAACAATATGTTCCATGACGTCAAAAAAAGTCGGAGGAAATATTTTTTCCAAATTACACATCAAGATCGGGATATTCTCATCAAGTTGTCTGATTACATCTACAGTTAAGGTGTGTGCGCTAAGATCTCTGAAAAAAGCTCCAATGCCTACGAATAATTAATGTACAAGCCAACGTAAGAATCTTTTTAATGTACATGACCAAAAAGTAATAATTAATAACATAATATTATAATTTACCTGCAAGTGCTTCGTGAACATCTTTTGGAAGTAACTCCGCAAATCCAAATGGTAGAAGTCGTTGCATAAACACGTGACAGTCATGACTCTTCGTCCCTGAAAACTTTTGTTCATGCTGATCCACACATTTAGATAAATTTGAAACATATCCATTTGAAAACTTCACATCAGATGCCACCCACTTGAACAATGCCGCTTTTGCTGATGCTGACAATCTGAAAATGGGAACCGGAATTTTCCCATCGTTTTGAATATGCAGCTCAACCCTAGAACATAATGCAGGCAAATCCAACCTTGAGTTCTTGTTATCTTTTGTCTTTCCAGGGACGCTCAACAAAGTATTGATGATGTTGTCAAAGAAATTCTTCTCTATATGCACCACATCAAGATTGTGGCGCAGAAGTAGATCTTTCCAATATGGAAGTTTCCAAAATATACTCTTTTTGTGCCAATTACGTTGTGTCCCGTACCCGTCGGGCATATTTGGAAGAGTGTGCCAATTACCCCCCATGGTGACTGTGTCTAGTCCTCCATAGTAATCAATATATTTCTCGATTTCTTCTCCAGTTAAATAGGGTGGAGCGGTGTCCCTTACAACCCTCTTTGACCGAAACAATTTCTTATTCCTTCGGTACGGATGGTTAAGGGGAAGAAATCTTCGATGACAGTCAAACTACGATGTTTTTCTACCATTCTTCAGCTGAGTTGCGTCTGTGCTTCCCATACAATGAGGATAAGACATGCGTCGTCCAACCTGACAACATCCCGTATGCAGGAAAATCACTAATGGTCCACAAAAGAACTGCTCGCATTGTGAAATTTTTTTTTGTTGAACAATCATATGTTTGCACGCCTGTTGACCATAATTCCTTCAACTCTTTTATCAAAGGGTGTAGAAAAACACCCAGTGACCTCTTTGGATGCTTTGGTCCAGGTATCAATATACTCATGAAAAACAATTCATTTACCATACACATCTCCAGAAGAAGGTTGTACGGTGTCAAGAAGCTTGGCCAAAACGAGTATTGTCTTCTAGACATTCCAAATGGACTAAAGCCCTCTGTACATAGCCCAAGATAAACGTTCGGGGGTTGCTTGCAAACTCAGGGTACACCGAATTCAAGTGTTTCCACGCTTTTGCATCAGAGGAATGATTGATCTCGCATTCCTTCTGAGTATATTCCGCATGCCATCTCATTGATGACGCCGTCTTCTCAGACTGATATAATCTCTTCAGTCTATCCTTAATGGATAAGTACCACATCCGCTGGTACGTCACCCTATTCCATCCACGTCCTTGCGGTTTATATCGCGGCTTCTTGCAAAATTTGCACTCTAACAATTATGTATCGTCTCCCCAGAAGATCATACAGTTGTCAATACAGACATCTACATCTCTGAAGGCAAGCCAAGACTATGAACAAGTTTTTGAATTTCGTAATAAGATTCAGCACACAAATTATCTTCAGGCAAATACTATTTAAACAACTCAGCCCATGCATCCATACAAACTTCAGGTAAGTTATGATCAGATTTGATATTCATCATCCTCTCATCATCCTAGCAGCCAATGATAATTTAGAAAAACTTTCTACAACCTTTATAAATTGGCTCATTAACTGATGCTAGCATTTCGTAAAATCTTTTTGCATCCAAGTTAGGCCCGTCTACATTTTCTACCTCCTCTATAATAGATGTTGTTTCACGAAATGCATATGTGACCATATCATGCATCCTATCATGATCTACCATATGATGATTCTCTTGAAGGTAACTTTCAGAAAGCAAATGTGGTTCCTCTCTGTTATGAACTATTTCAACTTGATTACTACTACTAGCTTCATTTCTATTATCACCTTCTCTGTGGTTATACCAGATATAGTAATGTGGAGTAAATCCTCTATTTACTTTATGTTTCCAAACCGTTTCACTAGCAGCAAACTTCGTATTGTTGCATTTACGATAAGGACATAACATTTTACCTGTTTCTTGTGTGAGAGACGTTTTTCCGGCCTGGTTCATGAACATCTCTGCTCCGTTGAGAAATTCGTCAGTTACTCTTCCCTTTGAATCTTTATGTGCATACATCCAACTCCGAATCTCATAAATATTTCTAGACATTTTTTTAAAGTTTATTGTTTTTTTTCTTCCGTTTTAAGAATGAGGGAGAAGATGATATTTATAGAGAAATTTCGATTTTGCTAGGTAGTTAAGTTAGTAGTTAAACATATGCAAAATAGATGCAAAACTATAAGTTGTAAGGCAGTCGCAATGTTATGACCAATTTACAACTATTGCGGAAGCTGATTAGTCGTTAATTGGTGGTTAACATATTTAGATGTACATTAGTCGTAATATTACAATCAATGAGTGACTAATGGCATTTACGACCAATTGGGGACTACTTTTGTAATATTTGGAAAAAAAAGAGAGAAGAAAGACACTAGAATATCAACTCCGTAGATTCTAAGCGAAACCAACGTTTCAACGTACGTTCCGCATTGATCTTTTCAGGGTTGTGATCCGAGTAGCTTTTTTCTCTCTTTTTCTCAGATTTTTTCAATCTTTAGAGTCAATTATCAACTTTCTTTTTCAAATATTTCGAAATATTTGTTTGGTTTTTGGAGAAAACGATGGCTCCTTTTATAGGAGATGTTATGAATAATTAACTTCGAAAGGTTACGACCAATGAGTATCTATGTACACCATTTAGTCGTAGATTACGACTAATTTACATCGACTTGCCTTTAAACCCCAAATCGAAATCCCAAACACTAGTGAGATTCAATTCTCAAATCTCAACTGATGACCATATCTAACAATACTAAAAATTGGATATACTCAAAGGAGAGAGTGTCCACCTAGGACTAAAAATTCGTCCAATGAAATTGCTTCCTTTTGCTATTTGGATATACTCAAAGGAGAGAGTGTCCGCGTTATGGGTTCTGGTCTTTTTTGTCATTTGGTTAAATTTTCTTTGGTCCAGCGAAGCCCATTCTGTTGAAACCCTAGCTTTCTCAATGATTCACGACTTTCCTTTCGTCTTCTCATGGTCTTATTTGTTTCAGCAGACCGTCAAGCCTTTCACCACCAGGTTCCATGAGCTGCAGAAACTGGATAAAGATTATTTCGAGTCTCTAAAACCTGCTGAGATGCTTAGTACAGCCACGTAATCTTCCCTTCTCTCTCTCCCTATCTTATTGATAAGGTAAGAGCGTACTAATGTAATAGAATGTGATTATTATCTTATAAGTTGTAGGTATGGATTCGTTAAAAGCAGTATAAATTCTTTTGATCTTGTGCAACAGGTCAAGTGATGGTGGCGGTGGATTCTGTGTGATTCCTCCGATTGTTGGAGTATACGTCCCCCCATCTTCCCACTCCATAAGACCCTCTCTCTTCTGTTTTTATTTCATTTTGGTCTTCTGGTTTGGATCTAAGCAAAATCTTAGCTTCTCTCGGCCACGAATCCTCAGGTTAGTACATGATCAAATCTGCATATTTGTTTCATTTAAATGTATAGTTTTGAGTGTATAATGAAGTTTTTGTCACCTAAAAAGACTATATTTAATGTCATGTACCTTTGATTAGCTTATGATTGATGATAGATTATTCTTTTTCTTTTTAGGGAAATGGCTTGGTACCAGGCAGATTCGCTGGCCAACAAAAGGAGCCACTTCTGGCAAGGACAAGATGAGTTCTGATTCCAAAAGTGTTGTGGAACTAAACATTGGTGTCTCGGTTATGTTTTAAGACGAAACTCTA